CCTTCATTTCCATAAGTATCCCAAGGATTCCTGAACATTAACCTGAGTCCCCAACAGGAACCTAAGATGTGCAGAAGGAAAAAGTAGTTTTTTCTCTGCATTTACTGTGCTTTTTCTAAACTTCCTGTCAGCCAAATCATTATGTTTTCCTATTTAAAAAAAGTGCTCTCCTCTTCAAAAACCTTTTCTATTAGAGACACCATAAAGCTTCTTATCTCCCTTCTAAGGGTATCTTGGAGGTGTGTTAATTGGATGCAATTTGCCCTAAAAGCTTATATGGATCTTATATTATTAAGGGTGTGCCCTTGCTGGAGTAAGTGTGTCCTTGTTGGGGGATGTATGTCATGGTGCGGGAGAGCTTTGAGGTGTCTTATACTCAGCCATGCCTAGTGTTTCAGAGCACGATTTCTTCCCTGTGGGATCAAGATGTAGCTCCTTCTCCATCTGCAGATCCTTCTAAAGAACCATGTCTACCTGCATGCCTCCATGCCCCCTGCAATGGTGATAATGGACTATAAACCTCTGAACCTGTTCAATAGAGTGAGTTCCAGGATATGCTCCAAAGCTACACAAAGAAAACTTGTCTCAAAAAAAAATTAAGTAACTGAGTCACATACTTCCCACATTTCAGTCAGGTGCTAGGGTACTTCACAGTCAAATATTTATTCACTGAAAGAAAGAAAATGAAATCCCTCTTATAAAAACCTTTACCTGAAAATGATGAAAACGTTGTGGAATTGCACAATAAGAATCACAAGCTTTATGTGATTCTTCCTAAGGAAAAGAAAGAAGACAATTAAAAGCACAAGAGAATCAACTGGGCCAGACCCCCATTATTTGGGTTTGCAAAAAAAAAAATGCTTCTAGTCCAATGTCAAAATCTCAATTTCACCGAGAGTGACTGACTTCCTCACTCTTTTCTTTCAAAAGATAAATGTTTCCATCAGATTTTAATGCTATTGAGCTGTGACCTTTAACATAGACAATTTTATAATTCTGTGAGAATTTCGTCCATGTGTACAGCATACTTTGATCATATTTCCTTCACTCCTCTTAAACAATTCCTGATCCACGCTCCGATTTCCAACATTCCTAACTCCATGCCTTTTGTTTGTTTTGTTTTAAGCCCCGGAATGCTTGGCTATCTCAAGAAGAGGTCTCACAAATATCATGGACTGGAAGCTGAGGAATGATAGGTTTTCCTGAAAAACTATGTATGAGAGAAGCCGTGTTTATGGCTGAGTCACTGAACATGATGGAGCTGTGCTTACAGAGGTGGTAAACAGTAATGTTTGCTCCACCAGGGACTTCAGGATGGGTGTGTAGCTTTAGAGTTTTTGTAGAGCTCCATAATAGACTGCGCTCTTGTGGAACCAACTAACATTTTAAGGAAAATGTGAAGTAATATGCAAAAATTTCCTTTTTTGACATGAATAGTTTGTTATTTTTGAGATTATACTTTCATTTTTTTCTTCCCTTTCATCCTTACAAACCCTTCCTACACTCTCCCTTGCTCTATTTCTCATTTAAGACCTGTCTTTTCATTCATTGCTGTTACATGCATATACGTAAAGGCATACAGCTGTACAGTCCAAAATGTAAACCAATCACTCTTTATACCTAGCATATATGCTTTCCAGAATCACTGTTTGATATGGGATTTACAACAGGTGTGCTCTTCCCTAAGTAGGAGAATTTCCTTAAGTCTCACAAAATTCTATGGAAAGAGAAAGGAAGTTCATAAGACTTATCATTTACCATGGCTGAGAAGGCTGGCGCTAAAAGATTAGTAAGGATCTTCTGCTCTCAAACTTACTTATGTGGTAAGTAAGGAGAACTGGAGAAATAAGAACCTCTGTCTCCGTCAGTTGCAAACAAGTCTTGCAGACATTTTCATGGTTCTAGTTTTCCTGAGTCCCCCATTATGATAGGAGCCTTTGTGATACTACAGATATGAGTCATTCATACTCCTGCAAGCAATTCTGTACCTATATTCCTGTATTAATCTCAATAAACTCATTAATTTGAGGGAATAGGAATGACACAGTCTTCTGTGGGAGACAGACAAAGAAAGGGGGGAAATGGGGAACTGATAAATAATACAAATGGTCATCTTTGAGCTTTCTTTTTATTTTCTGTCCTGAGACAAAAGCTTAGGAGGCTTTTCTTTCACCAGCAGGCTGTCTCCTCCAGCTGTGTGGTTCACGACAGATAGGTTAATGGTCAGTTCTGATCATGGTCACCTGAAGCTGCAGGTGATAACAGCTCTTGTGAGTGAGCAGTGGCTGGGACATGCCCAAAGACAGCAGGTCACAGCAGTGCTACTCTCCCTCAGCCAGGACATTCAGGACCCACTTCAATGACATCCCCTGTGTCTAGGGGGAATGGATCGTCTACAGGTCATATTTAGGAATGATCATTCAGGGGCACTCCAACATTTTGAAATTATGAGGCTGCGCATTTGCTGCTGTGAACTCCATAAAGAAGAACCTCTGACCAAGCCTGACAGCTGAAGACATCTATCCGTAGAATCAGAAATATTCACAAAGAAGTTACTCTTGTCACACAAAGTAACAACAGTAGTATCATCTTAAAGGAATATATGCCTCATCCAGCCATGGTATTTTGACCATGGACACAGGACCAGGTACTGATTCCTACCTAGAGTTCAGGCCTCACCAGATCAGCAGGAAGTGAAGTATACAATAACTCTCACATCACCATTGCACCAGTGACTTTCTCATATTCTGTATGCCCCATGTAAATGATATTTTCTTATGCTGAAATAAAAAGTTTTAATTTCATAAGCTCCTATTAGTTGATTTTTGGTCTCTTGTACTATTGGACATGAGTCCTATTCAGAAACCCCTTTACTGCTTAAAAGTTGGAGGATTATCTTTACTGTGTCCTTTGGAATTTGTAGGGTATCAGGTCTCATTTTGACATCCATGACACTTTTGGTGCAGTTTTTATATGGTAGATGATAAAGAGCAGAGTTTTATTGTCTGCGTGCTGACAGCAATTTTTCATAATCAGCATATCTAAGACAGTAACTCAAATGCCAACATACATATGAAATACAAATATGTGTGCAAAGTTACCCGAGTTACTCACAAGTACTTTCTGCTTACCAAGTGGACCACGTTGAGGTACCCAGGCATGTAGTAATATGAGATCAAGCTCTGACCACTCAAGCTAAGTCATGGCAACCACTTGCATTACAATACATTTTTAATAGAATTTATAAGCTGGCTCAAGTACTCTAGATTTTGTGGTCATTTTCTTGGGTCCCAGACTCATTTCTCACAAAGTGACATAATATTTGGAGTGTTCCATAATTCCAGCTTTGAGTGCCTTTTTAGTGATTACATTTTTTGTCAACTCTAAATTTTTCTAAAAACTGCAAAGGAAGTGGGAAAAAAGAACTCATATGCTATAGTCACTGTAAAATAAGACATCCCAGGTACTGTGGATCCTATAATGATAGATATGACTGAAAATTTACCATAGACATACCAGCTGAATCACTCCTGGATATGCATACTTATCATAGTGAGTTCACTATGCTGAATCACATATGCGTGAGTTTGTGTGTTATCACTGCACTTCATATAACAGATGATTCAAGGAATGACCTTGGGCTTCTTAGACCATTATATCTAAATATATAGATAAGGAAAATGTAATATGCATAAATAATGCAAGATAATCAATCAATGAATAAAATTATAGAAAAATTATATGTCTCAAGAAAATTGTTGAAACTATGGTTCATTAAGTCAAAGAAATAGACAACTCTCCAAAATACAAATAACACTCTTCTTATCTCATAAATGGAATTTAGAAAAAATATAAAAAGTGGATGAAAATTTTTGCAGAATTGAGAGGGCAAATATTTTAGATGGAAGGAGTATAACAGGGAAACAATGGGGTGTATACAAACACATTACTTATTTTATATAATTAAAATGTACCAAATAAGATAAATTTTGTACTTATGATATCCTACATCCAACTCTATTATATACCACAATATCTGTTCTCTTTCAAGTTTATGTCCTTTATTCATGCACTGCTATATTGATACATAAATTTGTATATACATATGTTCCTAATTACAAGGGGACCAATCCATAAAAGGTTATAATTCTATATGTTTTCAGGCATATTGTCCATTGCTTACTGAACAATTAGTTTATGTGTTTCTCTCTGGAGAGTCCACCTCTCCCACTCCCTGCTTTCCTAAATGACTACAGATCTTTGATGTTGTTGCCTTGTAGCTTTTCCTTGTGCAGTTTTCCATGCCCATTGATATCTTCCATCTACCTCACACTTATTTGTACCACAATTATAACAGTTTAAAGTAATCTATGTAGTGTGTCATTCTCTGATCTACCAGCTCATCCATGGAAGTGTTCACACTCACAAAACTCTACTACTAGAGAATAGAATATCAGAAAAATATGTAGTAAAAATTGGGCAAAATGTTTAACTGTTATGTTGCAAAGACACAAATTAAAAGACTTGAATTTTAAAACAAGCTTATATTTATTCAAGAATCACAAAAATCACAGAAAAATAATGTTATATAGAATATAATCTCATTATATAAGCAACCATATGCCAAGAAATTAAATGTGCATCAAGATCTGAACAAGTTTGACATTGGCTGTTTTGTCACACATTATCTTAACATACAGTCAAGAAACGTTATTGGTCTAGAAATACTTACCTATTTATAGTAATTAATTTTTGACTAGTATGTTTACAATAATGATGCACAAATTCTGTTTACACTAAATATTTGATGATAATAAAGTTCAAATCTAGATACAATGTTTCTAAATTCATAAGAACTGTGTAGCTATCTAAGTATTGACTAAGATTTGAAAATGAATTGAAGGATGTGAGTCTGTGAAATAAGTTGGGTAATGCATGAAGATCTGTACAATGAATTAATGTAAGGTACACTAACATGTTTCATGAAATGTTACAGTTACATGCATTTTGTGATGCTTTCTAAGACTTGAATTTGTTTTAAAGTCCTTGCCACATCCTTTACATTTGTAAGGTTTTTCACCAGTATGGAATTTGTGATGATTGTGAAGAGATGAGAGCTGGGTAAAGGACTTGCCACATTCTTGACATTTGTATGGTTTCTCACCAGTATGAATTCGTTGATGGTTATGAAGAACTGAGGCCCTGGCAAAAGACATGCCACATTCTTGACACATGTAAGGTTTTTCACCAGTATGAGTTCTGTGGTGAATATGAAGATTTGAGAGCTGGATAAAGGACTTGCCACATTCTTGACATCTGTAAGGTTTCTCACCAGTATGAGTTCTGTGATGTTTCTGAAGATCTGAGGCACTGGTAAAGGACTTGCCACATTCGTTACATCTGTAAGGTTTCTCACCAGTATGAATTCTGTGATGAATATGAAGATGTGAGAACTGGGTAAAGGACTTGCCACATTCTTGACATTTGTATGGTTTCTCACCAGAATGATTTCTTTGATGATATAGAAGAGTTGCGGCCCAGGTAAAGGACTTTCCACATTCTTGACACTTGTAAGGTTTCTCACCAGTATGGATTCTGTGATGAATATGAAGATGTGAGAACTGGGTAAAGGACTTGCCACATTCTTGACATCTGTAAGGTTTCTCACCAGTATGAATTCTGTGATGAATATGAAGATGTGAGAACTGAGTAAAGCATTTTCCACATTCTTGACATCTGTAAGGTTTCTCACCAGTATGGGTTCTGTGATGTTTCTGAAGATCTGAGGCCCTGGTAAAGGACTTTCCACATTCTTGACACCTGTAAGGTTTCTCACCAGTATGAATTCTGTGATGAATATGAAGATTTGAGACCTGGGTAAAGGACTTGCCACATTCTTGACATCTGTAAGGTTTCTCACCAGTATGGGTTCTGTGATGTTTCTGAAGATCTGAGGCCCTAGTAAAGGACTTGCCACATTCTTTACATCTGTAAGGTTTCTCACCAGTATGAATTTTTTGATGAGATAGCAGAGTTGAGTTCTGGGTAAAGGACTTTCCACATTCTTGACACCTGTAAGGTTTCTCGCCAGTATGAATTCTGTGATGAATATGAAGATTTGAGACCCGGGTAAAGGACTTGCCACATATTTGACACTTGTAAGGTGTCTCACCAGTATGGATTCTCTGGTGAGATTGAAAGTTTGAGTGATGGATAAATGACTTGCCACAATCTTTACATTTGTATGCCTTCTCTTTGGAATTAATTCTCTTATGCATAGTGGGGCATGCATATCTGTTGAAGCACTTTCCACATTCTATATAATTGTTTTGTCTCTCTTCATTTTGATTGTTGATATAATGCCTCCCTTGTTTCTGGTCATGCTGAAACAAAAAGAAGTTGTGTTACAATCAAAATCATCCTTACACTTATCTTGTATGTATTGGCTCTTAGAAAAAACAGACTTCTTCTATGAACTTATATAATGAGAAAAGACATATGGTGATTTCATTTTTGGGAATTTGTCACTTTAAGAAGAGGATTCTAGAAACTATTCTTATAAGAGTTCCTAGGAAAGGCTTTAATAAGATCAGTAAATGTGTAACATTTCTCATGACTCAAAATTCTTTGATATATTTTCAGTCTCACTTGATTGAGAAAAACTTCTCATGTTTATCTCAGGAATATCTTGTAACGAAAATGTAATATTGTTGAGAAAATTGTAGTGAATGTTTAATAGAATACACGTCATTCAATTTTCAGATTTTTCAACATTCTTTGTAGAAAAAAAGTGTTTTAAAATTTATTTGTATTTTTTTAAAGAAGAAAATGCTTCTGAAATTGTAAGCGATCTAATGTGAAATCTTTCCAGATAAGGTAGAAATTATTGACCTTTATTTCTAGGACCACCCAGGATGGCTGATGAATAGAGATTATTTCAATCACGACATAATCCATTCTCTTTTCTTTCTTCATCAAATATTGAAATCCTCCTTAAATGGAAGGTTTTAAAGTCACTACTTACCGCTATTCCTGATACCAACTTCTGGATACAATCTTGTCGATTCTCTTGTGAAAATAAGTCTTGTGTTTGATAAGAATATAAAACTGGAAGAAAGAAAAATATATAATTATCTGAATTAGTATACTTAGGTGAAAGTTTTTCAGATATATGTGACACAATTTTATGTACATGTAGACATATATTCAAGATAGAATATTATATAAAGTAAATTTCAAATCCTTTATTCTAATGATACAATCTTCTAAATGTAAATGGATAGAATACCTTTATAACATATATTAAATACATTAGAAAATGAAAGGATTGAATTTATGTTAATAAGTGATTCCAAAGATAATTTTCAACATAATAAATGAGATTATGGTGTTTTGAGTGAAATGACCCTATATAATCCGATATCTGAATACATAGTCCAATGTTGGTAGATATTTATGGGTAGCTTAAAGAGGTATCAACTTACTGGAATACTTATGTCCTTGGACACTGGTTTTGAGAATTTTAAAGCCTTCTTATAACAACAGTGAGCTATCTACTTCCTGTTGTGTTTCTAGATGGGACCTCTCACTGCTGCTCTAGCCCCTTGCCAACTGCTACCTCTTATTCATCGCTATGGATCTTTCTTCCATATATTGCCTTTATCTTGGAGTTTTATCACAGCAATAGATAATAAGTAACTAATACAAAGACTATTACCAAAGTACAAAAAATTACAGTCATAAAATTGAATTATCTTAATGGATTTTACTCTTCTCTACACTCTCTTGAAATGAAAAAATTGAGTAGTATTAAGGAATAAGGCAGAATATTAATTAATAAGGAGAGAGCAAATGATGAACTGGAAACTGTTACTACTAACTGGTCTACAGAAAATCAAGTATACCCCAAGGAAGAGATCCATAAAATTTTAAACATCAAGGAAATTCACTAGGACTGATTTATTTTTATCATAGATACATTTACTCTTTTTCTTATACAGAAAATAGATGTTTTAATAAAATATATTCTGACTATGACTTTTCATCCCTCAAATGCCCTGAGATCATCCCATCTTTACTTATGTCTACATTTACCCAATTTCAGTCACTTCTTAGAAAAAAATATGCATCTAAAGGATAACAATAAAGTAAAATAATCAGAATCAAAGAAATCAGATAGGATCAGAGAAGAATGGGAAATAAAGAAAAAGCACAGTAGTATTTGTAGAGAGTAAGACACACATTTGTACCCCCAAAATTGCATAAACAAAGTAAAACAAAACTTTTGAAGGTGTAATGTACATAAATATATTGTAAGGTCAAAAAAAAACTAAATACATTCCCAAACTTAATATTATGGAGGGAAAATAATGTACAAAAATTCCATTGAGTTGTGTGGTGATATCCTTCAAGTGTTGGTTATGGGGAATTCCTGTAAGTGTTACTTTTATCCCCACTGAGAATCTCTTAGAGAAAACTATTTTTTCTTTGGGGACTTATGGTCTGTTCGAAATAGCTTAGGTAAGATTAGGATTAAATGCTCTTATTTTTCAAGTGCATTTTTCTAGATTCTTTTACAAAATGAATGTAATAGATGAGTGGACATAAGTTAGTATCTACAATCTGATTTTTTGATCAGTATGTCTGTCTTTCAGACATACCATTATTTACAAAACCTAATTATTATAAAAATGTCATAGAATTTAAAACTATGAATGGTATATTGTTTATAGTTTTATTTTTCATGGTTGTTTAAGCTATTGTGAGGTTTTTGCTTACTTGTATCTATATGAGACTGAAAACTGTGGTTTTGAGATCTGAGAAGAATTGTGTTAGAATTTTGATAGGGTTTTCACTGAATCAGTATATTACTATATCAATTGACCAATCCTTGAGCATGTGTATTTTTCCATCTTACAATATCTTTTCCATTCATATCTTCAATGTCTTAAAGTTTTTATAAAGGTCTTTCACTGTTTTAGTTCAAATTACCCAAAACTATTTTTGAGGTTATTGTGAAAGGCATCATTTCCCTGAGTTCTATTTAAGTCTTTTCTCATTTGTATATAGGAAGGCTACTCATTTTTGTTAGTTAATTTGGCAATCCTTATACTTTGTGAAGGTGTTACTAAGTTGTACAAGTTTCTTCATAGAGTTCTTACAGTCCTTTATATATAAAAACATAGCATCTGCATATAACATTATTTTGATTTGTTCCTTTGCTATGAATCACTTCTAGATCTTCTTGATTTGTGTTCTTGTTCAATAAGATTTCAAGTACTGTATTGAATACATATAGAGAGATTAAGTACTCTTGCATTGTTCACTTTTTTAGTGGAGAGGCTTTGAATTCTCTACATTTAGTTTGATGTTGGCTATAAACTTTCTGCGAATTGCATTTCTTAAGTAGAGGTATATTTCTTGTATCCCTAATATCTCCAAGACTTCTATCAAGAAGGGCAGTTAATATTGCCAAAGGCTTTTCTGCATCTAATAAGATGAACTTCTGGAATTTGACTTTAAGGTTGTACAAGTGGTAGATTACATTTATTGATTTTGAATTTTTCATCTCTCCCTACATGTCTTGACATAAAGCCTATGGTAGATTATCTTTTTGATATGTTCTTAGATGTAGGTTGCAAATATTTCAGTGGGGACATTTGTATATAAGTTCATAATGAAATTGGCATGTATTTTACTTACATTTTGGGTGTATATGTGGTTTAGTTATCAAGGTAGCTGTCCTCATAAAAAGAATTTCACAGTGTTCTGCTGTTTTTATTTTGTAGAATAATTTGAGGAGTATTCATGTTAATTCAAGAAGCATTATTAAAAGATAGAAGGTACCACCTACTACATTATTCTGCTTGGTATTAAAATTATTTTTAATGTCCTATTGGTTTACCCACAGACTGTTGCATCTGTAAGCCTTCATTCCCAAATTCTGGCAGAATTTTACAACTAAAGGTGACTCATAGGTAGACATGGTCCAAACAACAAGAAAATACTTAATTTTAATGAGTATGTTTATAACATACTTATTCCATGGACTGTTCAGAGCTCATTCGGCACAGAGTGATAATACATAACAAGGCAGGAAGTCATGAATGAGTATAAGAAAATAGTGCTTTCTGTACACAACATGACAGTCGCCCATGTAAACTCAAGTAATTAGGATAGAATGTATCAGACATGAGCAATCCGAAACCAGATTAAAATCCTTGGGAGACAGTGAGAAGGGGCCTGGAGATCTATGCCTTGCTGAGAAGCTACTATTATCTTAAAGATGCTTGGAGATAGGGAATATTGTTGATTTTAAGAATGTGCAATCCTGATTGTTCAACCATATTGTAGGTCATGTAGGCTCAACACCCAGAATTTTATGGAGGTTTCAGATTGAACTCTGTGAATATAAAAAAAGAAGAAGAAAAAACCAAAGATGTCTGGAGGAAGTGGAACATAGGAAGAGTGGAGAGTTGAATTTGGTCAAATGACATTGCAAGGTATTCTTAAATCACTAATAAAAGTATTAAAAGTAAAATATATAATTTTGTGGGTATATAAATTTGTTTCCCCAAACAAATTATAATACAGATATAAAACACAAATGAAAACAAGTGCATATACAACATTTATGTGGATATTAACATATAAATTATGATATTCAGAGATTAGTAGGTGGCAGTACATTAGACCAATAACATGAATGACACTAAACTAGTCTTAACTTCTAAAGAATATTTTGCAGAACTAGAAAAAGTTACCTTTTTAGTTCTGCAGTATCTGACATATATAATGAACTCTACATTCCAAAATGAATACAACTATAAGATTTATGTTTCCTGATTATATGTGAGACTACATAACAGTGAAAACCATGTGATTCTGTCATGAGAGCAGACAAACAGACATGAACAGGTCCAAAGCAATACTCCTTCAAACACTGTGAAACTTTTTAATGATAATTTTCATTTCAATATTGCTCATTTGAGGGCCTGGTAATGTTCAAAAATATGGCAACAAAACATTTTACTTCTGCTTTATAGATAAATTAATTATTCAAAGTGAATTCTTATGTCGTTTTCCTTATAAAGTAATTTGGAATAATCATTCAATGTGAATTTTTACATAATTTTAGGTAGAAATATTTGTGCATCTCTTACAGGGATAGGGAGCCTAACATAACCACACAGAAACACTGCTTGGCCATTTGTTCTAGCCTCCTATTGGCTAACTCTCACATTTTGATTTAACCCATTATTATAAATGTGTGTTTACCACAAGGCCATGGCTTACTGGGAAGATTTAGCATATCTGACCTGGTGTCTTTATGGTGACTCTCCCAAACTGACTCTGATTTTCTCCTCCCAGAATTTACCTTCGCCTTCCTACGTTCTGCCCTAGCAGGCCAAGCAGTTTTTATTTTTTTAAAGATTAACCAATGAAAACATAATGGTTCTCCTACACCATGCATCCCACTTCAGGGCAGAATTTCTCCATGCCCTAGGTTTCCCGCGTGTGCCAATGCTTCATTATGATTACCTTGTTCATTGCCTTCTGCCTCTCGTATGTTCACATTCCAGGGCTCATTGCTTTGCTCAAGAAAGCTGATCAGGTCTGGTTTTGACACTGAAAGACCTGCATATTGGAAGAGACCTATGACCATAACTTGGGATAACAATAAAACACATGGATTTCTCATAAACCACCATGCTGATTATATAAGATGGCCTATAATTTAAAATTCCAAATATGATTTTCTTATTGCTATCTCCAAATATTTTAACACACTCAAAAACATTTTTGTTAATATTGTATACCTTGAGTTTCCTTGTAAATTACTACTGGATCAAATGCAAACACATTATGAATCATCAAGATGCTAATCAATATATAATCTATGATGTGTCTTAAAACTAAAATGTATTATGAAAGTTTGAATGATAAATATCATCTCCAGGGGTCAGGAATATATTGACAAGATAAAGTTACACAAAAAATCTTGATTTACATAATGAACTCCAAGATTTTTTTTAATTGGCAAATAAAAGTGAGGCAGACAATTCAGACATAGATGTAAAACATCCTTGTAGATACAAATATGATAAAGAAGGAATCAGGAAAGAAAAATGTCTCACCCACAGAGACCATGTTACTGTAGTTCTCCAACATGACTTCCCTGTACAAAGCCCTTTGTGCAAAATCAAGGCAGTCCCACTCATCTGGAGAGAAATCAATTGCCACATCCTGGAATGTCAAGATTCCCTGTCATGAAAGGAAAGAGTTTACCAAATGCCCACGTAAAAATTTCTTTACTTAGACTAAGGATACAAGAGTTCATCCCAAAATTTGATGTGTTTTTGCTTATCATTATTCTAAAAGACATACTCCAAATACAGTCTATATTAAAAATCTGTGTGCTGGAAGTATTAAACCAAGTAGGAAAAGTTAACCTTCAGATATCTGGGCCTACATGGGCGATGAGAATGGGAGCCAGATTATCTTCATGTGAAGTTCCAGACTTCACCTGTGCCCTTAATTATCTATCCTCATGGCAAATTTTTCCTTAGAACCCATAGGCTGAATAAATATGAGCTGTAAAGCTGCAACCATGCGGGCATACACTGGTGTCAAATAAAAATATGTCAAACATAAGATGTGTAGCAAAGGCAGAATTTCCATATCCAAGAAAGAAGCAGAAATTTCTACTGCATATGATTCCAATGACATTAGTGGGAAGACCATGGAATGGCTGACACCTGTGTATGGCGAGGTATAAAGAGACAAATTTCTAAGTCCTGAATCAGTGCTGGGAATCTGTGGGTAGATTTATAAAGGACAAGTAAAGGATGTAGATTGTGTAGCTGATGCATGGCTTGGATCTGCTGGCATCCAAAACTGACTCTTCCCTACAGGTTCCCATCACTGCTTCAAGAACACAAGAACCATATGAACTAAAGTACAATAATTTATACAGCAAAATTTCCAAAGAATCAATAAAAACACCAGCAAAATAATTAAACATTTTGTGATCAGCAATCCCGTAAATTTGGTATTCTAGATTAGATATAATATTACAAACAGCACATTGCCTTTCATCAATTTTTTTCTCCATGATTCATCATGGAGAATATAGGATAAAAAAAAAACAAACCACCAAGAACATGTCCTAATGGACAGTATAATTATATTCTTCATCATACATTTTTGTGTTGTCTCTTTCCTATTCTAATTCGTTAACATATTCATGATCACTTAACTACACCTTAAATATTTTTTATGTTATTTACTGTTTTGTTTTTTAATTGTGCTTTATGATTTTTTCTGTATGTTTCTGTAGTACACTATTTTCTTCCATTGTTCTAGTCACATCCTGGGCAGATGTACTGCTGACTTGAAGACACCACAAATGCAATCCCAGACTACTAAAGCCAGCAAAGATTTAAATCACCATTGGCAAACAAGATAATCCATGAGAAATCAGATTTAAACAATACCTATCCACAAATCCAGCACTACACAAGTACAAGAAGGAAAACTCTGACCAAACAAAGCTACCTGCACACATACAAATACATACAACATCATATAACCTCACACCAACAAAACCAAAAGAAGGGAAGCGCTTTCATAAAAAACTAACAGGATTAAAAAACAGTGGTCATTAATATCTCTTAATACCAATGAACTCAATTCACCTATTGAAAGTCACAGGCTAAGAGAATGATTATGACAGCATGATCCAGCCTACTGCTGTATACAAGAAACATACTTCAACCTCAAACACATATATTAACTCAGAGTAAATGGTTGGTAAATGATTTTCCAATCAAATGGACCTAAGGAATAAGTGGGTGTAGCTCTTTTAATATCTAACAAAATAGACTTCAAACTACAATCAATCAAAAGACATGGAAAAAAACATCTTATACTCATAACAGGACCAATCCATCGAGGTGAAGTCTCAATCCTGAACATCTATGCCCCAAATACAAGAACACCCACATATGTAAAAGAAACATTACTAAAGATTAAATTGTAAGTCAAACCCCACACACTAACAGTTGGGGACTTAAACACCCCATTCTCCCCAATGAACAGATAAAGTAGACAAACCTAAAAGAGAAATAAGAAGACTAACAGATTAATGAATCAAATGTAATTTACAGACACATACAGATCATTCCTCCCAACATGAAAGAATATACCTTCTTCTCAACACCTCACAGAACCTTCTCTAAAATTGATCACATACTTGGTAGCAAAGCAAATCTCAACAGATACAAAAAATGGAGTAACCCCCTGGATCTTATTGGACTGTGGTTTAAGATTAGAATTCAACAGTAACACTAATTTCTGAAAACACACTGAACATGGAAAATAAACAGTGCTCTACTGAATCACCCCTGGGTCTCAGGAAGCTATAAAGAAAGAAATCGAAGACTTCCTAGAATTCAACAAAAATGAAGGCATAGTGTACCAAAACCTATGGGACACTATGAAAGCAGTGCTAAAAGGATAGTTTGTAGCATTAAGTGCCAAAATAAAGAATCATTAGGTCATACTACAAAAGCCTATACTCCACAAAATTGATGGACAATTTTTAGATAGATACCATCTACCAAATTTAAAACAAGACCAGGTTGACAATTAAAAAAGACGTACAAACTGCAAGGAAATAGATGGTGTTATCACAAACCTCTTAACCAAAAAATCCCAGAGTTCAATGGTTTCTGTGCAGAATTCAACAAGAATTTCAAAGAAGAGCTAATACCTACAATCCTCAAAGTGTCCAATATAATAGAAACAGAAGGAAAATTGTCAAATTCTTTTTTTGAGGCCCAGTTACCTTAATACCAAATCCACACAAAGACACACCAAGAAAGAGAATTACAGACCAATCTCACCCCTGAATATTGATCCAAAAATACTCAATAAATAAATGTGCACTCCTTTATTTCCAACACTCGGGAGGCAGAGGCAGATGGATCTCTTTGAGTTCGAGGCCAGCCTGGTCTAAAAGAGCTAGTTCTAGGACAAGCTACAAAACTACAGTGAGACCTTGCCTCAAAAAACCAAAAAAAAAAAAAAATACCCAACCATTCCAAAAAACCCTGGAAACCTGAACCCAAGGAAACAATAAATAAAAATCACCCACCAGGATCAAGTCAGTTTCATTGCAGGACTCATGGATTGTTTAATGTATAAAAATCTATTAATGAAACCCACCACAAAATAAACTGAAAGATTATTATATGAGTATTATCTCATCAGATGCTGATAAAGCATTTGAAACCCCTTTATGATAAAGGTCTTGAGAGAACTGGGATACAAGGACCATATCTAACCATAATAAAAGCAGTACACGGTAAGACAACAGCCAACATCAAATTAAATGGAAAGATAGGCAAGGGGATTACACCAAAATTAGAGACAAGACAAGGCTCTCCACTCTTTCCATATCTATTCAATATAGTTCTTAATGTTCTAGCTAGAGTGATCAGAAAACAAAAAGATATCAAGAGGATATAAATTGGAAAGAAAGAAGTCAAACTTTTGTAATTTGCATATTATATGACAGTATACATACATGACCCCCAAAACTCTACTAGGGAACTTCTACAGATTAATAATAATAATAATAATAATAATAATAATAATGATAATAATAAATAATATTGAAGGATCAAGATCAACTAAAATAATAAGTAGCCCTCCTATATACAAATAATAAAGAATCTGAGAAATAATTCAGAGAAACATCGCCCTTCACAAAAGCCACAAATCGCATAAAATATCTTGTGGGTAACACTAACCAAACAAGGGAAAGTCCTGTTGGACAAGAACTTTAAATCTTTGAAGAAAGAAATTGGAGAACACCAGAAAATGGAGAGATCTCCCATGCTCTTGTATAGGTAGGATCAACATAATAAAAATGGCAATACTACCAAAAGCAATCTAATGATTCAATGCAATCCCCATCAAAATCTCAAAAGAAATCTTAACAGACCTTGAAAGAACAATAATCAACTTCATATGAGAAAACAAAAAACCCTGGATAGCCATAAAATTCCTGTACAATAAAGAACTTCTAGAGACATCAACATCCCTGACATCCAGCTATATTACAGAGCTACAATAATGTAATGGTCTGGTATTGGTATTAATCAGACTGTTTGACCAATGGAATAGCATTGAAGATCTGTATATTAATCGACACACCTACAAATACCTAATTTTTAACAAAGAAGTTAAAATTATACAATGGAAAAAAGAAAGCATCTTCAACAATCCATGCTGGCATAACTGGATGTCAACATGTAGAAGAATGAAAATAGATTCTTATCTATCCTCAAGCACAAAACTCACGTCCCAATGGTTTAG